CTTTTCACCAGCAAACTGTTTTTTTTTCCACTATGGGAGTTGGTGCTTGTGGGACTCCCAGTTTGTTTATGGCTTCTCAGACTGAAGAAGTCCTTTGGATGAAGGATGAAACATCTCAAAAAAAAAAAAAAAAAAGAGAAACCATCCAGATGATCTGACTGAATCTGGATTATTGAGCATGAACTTTGGAGCATTGGTTTTTATTTTTCATGTTAAATGTGACTTTATAAATAACTGCAAGCTGTGGAGAAAACCATTTAAATCACAATGAAATCAAATTTCAGAAGACGGGAGCATGTTTAATAAAATTATTGTGAAATCAAGTGAAAGTTCAACTTTCTTACAGTGGATCTGACTCATGGAACCTACAGAAATCAACTTATTGATACCGTTACTTTAACATGCACTTAATACAGCAAAAAATGAGTTACGTCCTTATTTATCACAGTAACTTGGTGACCCGAGAGGATCAGGCCGTTTTCCCTCCTGCTGCCTCATGGTGGTTACCTGTGGTCGAGCCAGTGCAGCTGCTGCAGCTGTTGTAGGAAGGAAGAGGCCTCCTTCAGGCTTCTGTTCAGCTGGTGAACTGCATCTCTGCTGTTATTCTCCCTCTGCTGACCCAAACGCCACACCCTTGGAAAATAAGTGGGCGGACATGCAGAGCAAAACAAAAAGAAGAATGTACGATATGAAACACACGTTGAATCTGAATTAGAAGCAACCCAAGCAGCTGATTTTGCAAATCTGGATTACCCGTCCTGTTCCTTACCAATCTGCAGAAACTGGAACGTCCTCGGTGTCTTTAGTCAGGGACAAAACTACGTCTGATTCTGGTTGAAAACAAGCACATTTCAGTAAAATTACAATGAAATTACTTTAACTTCACTAGTCTAAAATGTTTATTTTTCAACCTGACCTTGACAAAAAAAATCTGTCACTTGAGTTTTCAAATACCTTTTTTTAAAGGTTTAATTTTAGACATCACATGAGATCAACACCACCACAAACTTAAGGCATTACAAACTAAAAGTTGTTTCCAGAGGCGCTACACCAGCCAAAACCAGTCATCAGTCACATTTGCAGCTAGATGTTTCTGTGTGGAGCGTTTGTTCTAAATTCATTTATGCATATTTTTAATGCAATCGTTTATTATCTGGGTGTCCAAATACTTCTTTAAAAAGACTTCACTTGATCCAAAATGCTGCTGCCAGAGTTTTAAAGCAAGTTGATTGGAGAGATCATATCTCTCCAGTTTAAGCTTCTCTCCATTGGCTCCCTGTCAAACCCAGAATTGAATTCAAAATCTTACTTCTAACCTACAAAGCTCTCAATAACCTAGCTCCATCTAATATTACAGATCTTATTGTTCCATATTTTCCTAACAGAGCAGTTTGCTCTCAGACTGCAGGTTTACTTGTGGTTCCTAGAGTTTCCAAAAGCAGACTGGGAGGAAGATCTTTCAGTTATCAGGCTCCTCTCTTGTGGAACCAACTTCCAGGTTCTGTCTATAAGCCTGACACATTGTCTACTTTTAAGATTGTTTAAGTCTTTCCTTTTCGATAAATCCTATAGTTAGGGTTGGTTTGAGGTTTCCTGAGCTATCCCTTAGTTATGCTGCTATAGACTTCGACTGCTGGAGGACAAATTGCTCACATTCCTTCACTCTGCTGCTTTACTTGCTCTACTCTACCCATTTGTATTTGTAATTTTTTTCTGTCCTTGACATGTGTTTTTTGTCTTTCTTCCTACAGAAAGTACATCTGAACCTACACCTGGACCTACACCTAGACCTACACCTAGACCTACACCTGGACCTACACCTGGACCTACACCTGG